TACGATGCCGCACCAACCTCCTCGCGACAATAAGCGTCCCAATCGACAGCCCCAGCTAGCTTACGCTGATCAACAGCAATACCGGTAGCGTCGGAGTTTCCATCATGATGCACTGCGGAACTAACGCCCACAAGATATCGGCGATAGTCCTCTTGAACAGATGAGGAAAGACAACAAGTAAGCACAGAGAAAGTCAGTAATAGCAGAGACCGCTTACAGAAGGAGATAGCCATAGGTGAGAGACCAAGATCTACGAATAACTACAATAACATTTCAAGCACAAGGAAAATGAAAATTCAGCGCTTTTCTAGCAGTGAGAGTCAACTTATGATCCATTTTCCCCACGAAAAATCCAGCGAAAAAAATAATACCCGCTGAATTTTGATTTATTCAGTTCTTCTCTAGCGCGCTAAAACACATCACGATCTTGAAGGATCATAGCGTAGCTAGCTGATTCAGCGTGGATGTACTCCCAGGAGCAATCCTGCGTTTGATAATCGGTCTCCTAGGCAACGATCCGTCCATAATTTCAGGCGTGAGTGGTATTAATAATCATACTGAACCACACACCTAGGAACCAGCGACAAGTAAAGAGACTCGGGAAAATGGAGTACTCGGCCACTCACCCTTGGATGGCCTCACGTTACAGGGTTCTTCTATGGTCGTGTAGAGGAGACAATAACGCAATCTGTGTTGATGATCTAGCCTGAATTCATATCCTTTGTGTCGTGAGACCGAGTCATTATATATATTGGTACCGCCATTACTCCTGGTACTCTCCATCCGTTGTCTAGGTCGCGCGTAATGAGAAGTGTTTTACAATTTATCAGTTGTGGTTTCTGGTGAAAATGCTTATCGTAATGTCCTCATTATTTCTCCTCCTCACGCACACATACATCTCCACCGCTGCTGATACAACCGCAAATATAGCCGCGTATCCCCCTGAAGTGATTGAGTCCTGGGATCAGTACTGCCATGCTGCAGTGAACGATCGTTCCTACTGCAAGTTCAACCACGAGCCTTCACTGTGCCAGTTCAGTGTGATTCCTTGTGGTCCGACTTCGTTATCGACTACTGTCCCTGTTTCGATGGCGACAAGCACGTCAAGTGATGAGAGCAGTGTTGTTGTGACTACTGCTACTGTGCCTTCGACTACGGTTGCGGCAAGCACCAGTAGTAGTGTCTCATCTATGTCAACAAGTACTGATTCTTGTGAAGTCTCTGGTTCATGTGCCGCCGATCCTCGAGGAGCTATAGAGGCGTTGAACGAGCTACTAGGCTCTGCCTTCGTATTGACCGATGGAGCTATGCCGCCAGTGTACATGCCGCAATATACCTACATCTCTCCAGCTGCAGTCGTGCGCCCTGCTAACGCTGATGATATCATCGGAATCTTGGACATTGCTCAGCAATACAGAGTCCCTGTTGTGGTTAGAAGTTACGCTGGTCATTCTTACGCCGGCCAGAGTACTGTCCAAGATGGTATCGTTATTCTCATGGATAGGTTTTCGACAGTCGAGGTCCTTCCTGAGGGTTTCCTAGGGTCCACTTTCACTGCTGTGATTGGTGCTGGTACCAGGCTTCTGGATATCTACACTGCTCTTATGCAGCATTCGCCGCCTTTGGGTGTCAGCGGTGGTAACTGTCCATCTGTGTCTATCTCGGGTGTCACCATGGGTGGTGCTCATGGCTATTATGGGACGAAGTACGGGACTCTTGCTGATGCTGTAATTGCTGCTGATGTGATCGTTAAAGACGGTGATTCGTTCAAGCTGGTCAAAGCAACTCGAGACGGTGATCACGAGGATTTACTGAAGGCTCTACGTGGTGGCATGGGTGGTAACTATGGTGTTGTAGTGAACTGGTATATAGAAACCTTCCGCGCGAGTGATTCGGTGCATATCTTCCGTCACAAGGTTGATCGTGGCGACAAGAGTAAAGATGAGGTTATTGCTAAGACTCGCGCATTCGAGGTGGCTACGGTCAATCAACCCGGTGATGGTTTATGGAGTAAGTTTAAAGTCAAGGGGGGATTCGACATGAACTTTGAAGGGATGTGCATGTGCGAGCCCAGTTCTAACGACTGCTCCCTCTGTGATGTCACAATGGCCAGCATTGATTCCGCTTTGGACAAGGACAACTGGGTCACCAAACCCTCGGAGCTCACTACTGATCACGGCTATGCAACGTGGTCTTGGGCTGGTTGCACTACATGGGCTGATCCTGGCACTCCTCCCGATGCTGACTACCCCGGTCCGAATGGTGACTTTGGATCAGCTAAACAAGGCTGTTATGACTATGATTGGTCGTTGAGTGTTGACTCCCCCTGGAAAAGCATATCTGTCTACATCAAGCACAGTGATGCGACGGATGCCTTTTGGGACACCGTATGGGATATCGTCCACGAGCCCGAGTGCGAGAATCGCAATGTCTGTATTTTGACCTTTGAATATTACGGTGGTAAAATGCTCGAGGAGCCGCAAGATTGTTCTGGCGGAGGTCCATGCACTTCTTTTATCCATCGCCATAATGGTTGGAACATCCAGATCTCGTCACTATATTCCAAGGGCGACTCGAATGGCGAACAAGTATCCACTGCGTGGGTTGCCAAGGCGTTTGCTGCTATCGATGCCAAGAGTTCTCTCCACACCAGCTACCAGAACTATCTCAGTAACCAATGGACCACTGATCCATGGAAAGACCAGTATTTCCCTGGCCAAGATGTGCTCCCTGACCATTGGAAGTATCGTTACTTTGGTGACAATATTTACTCGAGACTACAACAAGTCAAATGCCGATATAATCCTGATAATTTATTCGTAACTGATGACACTGCTGATATTGTAGTGCAGCTTCCTGATGACTGCTCTATGTAGTTCTTTTCCAACCTATATGTCTTACCTTCTCGTCTAGTTGGACTTGTGAATCTGACTTACTCAATGATGTAGTTATTACCAAACAGTGTGACTGAAGTGTGATGCACTTTAATTTTCATTCCTCGTGAATGTTGAGTTGACTCCGGTGAGTTCGACTGAATTCTTCTCGTTAATAGCTAGTCGCTGCATTTGCATTGCGAAAATGCAACTGTTGCTACCTGATTTGGGAAGGGTAGTGGTGTTACCCTGGAACTGAACGATTGGGTGGTATCATGAGACCTCGTATGAGTCATTGAAGGCCTCGTTGTGAGTTTTATAGCGCGGGTTTACTTCCTGAAATGTATCCAATTCCGCTCCTGAGGAACGAGGAACTAGAAAACTTTCCTGAGAAGTGAACACTACAGAGCTTGTATATTTACAGGAAAGAGTTGTGCGAAGCATGACGGGCATTCGTGTAGCCATATCGGGAGCCACATGCACCTACCGTGCTCGACATAGTAAGGGATCGGGTTACCACCCCAGCTGCCTCTAACCTGAACGTGTCTCAAAATACTGATCGGAGCGTGGAGGCGACTTACTTCGGTCCGTGATAAGATCGTATCAGACCAACACGGTGGTGGGCATCATCAAAGACGGAATAATATCTTCGTAGGAAAGTGTCACCAAGTACCCACACCCCACGTCCATGATGATAGCTGTCACGATGGAAGGGAAGATCTAGCTTTCCAACTCCTAGTTCACACGTCCTATACGGTATATTTCGTGCCTAACACGTGCTTGCAGTAGTTCGTACTGTGACGGACCAGCATATCCTGGCAGATGCCCATGTTGGAATCTTATGACGTAATCACTCGGTTTCAAAGGATACCACACGTCTTTGCCAGAGCTATCTCGTAAAATGATATCAAGTTTCGGCATGCGATGGTTCAGTTCTTCCGCGCTCACCTGAGGAAGGGGAGGATCATGCCGCTTGAAATTATTATGATGCTTTCTTTACTCGGTCACATGCGCTCGGGAGTGGCCCTATTCGTTCAAGGACTTTCGAAGCATCTCTTTGTGGGCCCGTAATCAGACTACTTCCAGTGTCAATCATGGCCTAGATAAAACAGAATTCGAGGCTGGGGTCCCAACGCCGAGTTCAGCGTCGCGACAGAGGCTAAATTAAACGATTCTTCAGCAGATTGTTAACGGGCATTTCTAGTTATCATTAGAAGAGGCATGATTCTGCAATTTAACCGAGGGAGACAGGCTCTTGCGCAACGGGCTTTGCTGCAAACCCTCTGGATGCAACAGAAGGGGAATCGCCGAACTCGAACACGGCTTGGCAACGGATGCGAAGATTTGCAAGTTTTCCAATGGCGATGAAGTTTTGAGTTGTTGGATGAGAAAAAATCGTGCTTCCAGATAAGAAATGGTAAAAGTGGAATCCTTCAGAAAGATCCTTTCCTCCAAGGCTTTTTATTCGTATCAGTCCTCCTGCGGGATTATGGGATAGCCAGGGTACATTCTTTCAGGAGGCGAGCCCGATGTTCGACCTCCTGGAAAGAGTAGTCAACCCATGGCAGGATTTTCACACGATGATGCACATGTGCCGAGCAGAACCACTTGCGAGATGTTGTAGCTTACTGCAATCACGACACTCACCAAGATGCAATCAGCGACTGCCGTGATCGCTTGCCTGGAGTCAGAAATTGCGCTTCCTATGAAAGGCGTTAGCTAAATAATATTCCGGATTCTCAGCACGCTGAACATAGTTTGTACGCTACAAAGTTCCGAATATTGGTAGTCTTTACCAAGACAGACTTGGCCAGGGCAAGTTGGTAAAGACCCTGACACTGCTAGCTTACTGGTCGTTACACAGAAACATTGATAAACTTTCTTCTATAATATATGCGACTTGAATCACACATAATATACACGGGCCACTTGATAGGAGCATT